GGAAGAGGTTCCAACCCCCGGGTGCAGAGGGTAGTGGTCGCAGGTTTTAGACCCAAGTGGCCAATCTCCAATTGCGATTCACAACTCAGTTCCAGAAGATGGCCAGCTGTGTGAGCTGAGCCTCTACACTTACCTGGGTAGGCCCATGCTCATCATGTCACTGGGGTTAGGAAATCCTGAGCTCCTCAATAAATTCATCCATTATATGCAAACACTGAGAACAATCAACTTCCAGTGTCACAATAGTGGGGACGTTAGCCAGCAGGGCACACACGAGAGTAAAATAAGATCCAGCTTAATCCAGTGTTAGGACTTATACTAGATGGACACTATCAGATTCAATTTTGGGGAACACCTGTATTTCAGCGTGGGTGCAGTCAGCACAACCATATCTCATTATGGATTCCCCTCCCCCTTGTTTTCCAAAACAAAGATGCTTGATTGGTTACAGCTGGGCCAACACACTGGCCTGCAACACCAGCCGCCAGGTTTTGGTAGTGCACATTCAGAGGTCTCATTCAGGGTTTTATTAAGTCACAGATAGTCGCTTACCACTGACTGAAGACGTGTCATGAACCAACAGCCGGGATCCTTGTCTACTGAAAACTCAGGCTCCTGTAAAACAGTAGATTAAACTAGTGGACCCGAGATTGACTCTCTGGTTTCCCCTCCCACATTTCTCTATGCCTCCCTCAGCCAAAAGCTGCAGAGACCAAAGAACCCAAGCTCATGCAGTTCTAGCCCCCACGCCCCGGGCCTCTACATTCCTGGCCCAGGGCAGCATTGCCCCACCATCTTACCCACATGACAGGTGCCACTGAATGACTGAGTTTCCAGAAACCAGCTCCCACAGCTGGCTGAAAAAAACATCATTAACACAAACCCTTTTAAATACTCACTCACAAATTACTCCAACACAAGTGTACATCTGACACTTTAGGTAGCATTCCTCAGCCTCCCCTAGTCAATCAAGCATCCCGGCAACAGGACAAGCCCTGTGTGATGATTCTCAGAGTACCCAGGACTCTTGAGTCTCCTTACACTGAAAACAGAGGCTCACTTGTGCTAAACTAGGTGTGACCACCAGCGTGTTAGTCACCCAAGCACTCTCCTCTGGGTAATGCCAGTCCTTCCTTTACCTTGTAGGTAACAATAGGTGCACCCCAGTCCCAAAGGCCCTTGGAAAAATTCCACTGTAGTGCACAGTCTCTTTTCCATTGAACACTCACAGCAATACCAGGTATAGAATCCCCCGCTTGTCTGATTCAAGTCAAGGGCACCTCCTAGGACAATACCACAGCATGGAGACATTTATAGTGAAAACAACTACAAGTTTATTATCAAAGATTTGAGATAACGGAAACAATAGGTTACATATAAAACAAAATCATAACATGATTTCTAGATGCTAAATTTAACAGCCTAACCTCACGTCTAAAGAAGTTTCTCTTGCCCCAAATTTCTTTTTGCAGCATTTCAGCCAAGGTTGGTTGTGAATTTTCATGAATGTATGCACACTGCCCATTTACTTCCTCAGTGCATGAAAAAGGGCGGTGTCCCTTGCTTTCTCCTGATAGTCCCAAAAGTTCATTGCACCTCGAGTCAGCAAAATCCACTGTAGCTTTTTCTCTGGTGTGTTGCCTCCCCGTTGACTTCACGTGTCTGTCTATGAGACTTTCATTGTGTCAACTCTGCCCTGATACAGACTTTAGGAATGTTTTCAATGTACATACTTAACTCGTTACACTGTATCTGAATGTGCATTGTGCAAGAATATTAATGACCACTGTGACCCTGGCTTTCATGTCAGACCTCACGTGACGTTCTTTGGTAACCAGAATGTACATAGCAGGATCAGGATAATCTTGTAACCCCTATGCCAGATGGCACTGAAGGGTTCCTAGGATCACACCCCATTTTACAAATTGTCACTTTGTGATTACCTATCTTCAGTGGCTCCTGTTTCAATGTCTCATGTTCTTTCACCATCAATCAATGACCCAGATGCCATATGTTAAGTACAACTCCCCACTGAAACAAAGGGGGGATTCGGTTTTAATAACTGACAGCTTGATTTGCCTTAAAGAATACAAGTGCGCTAAACAAGAAAGGACATTGCACAACATTGTTTTTAAAATTTATCTAGCATGTATCCCATTAGGAATATTGTCCTAATGGACCACATCTCTAATGGGAACCGAAAAAGCTTGGCAAAAATAAACTATTTGCTAATAGGACTGAAAGGAAAAAAAGGTCTTGTGGGCAGAGCACTATTAGATTTCCTGAAGTTGAGATAATTAACTCTGCATAATAATCATTCCAATACATTTGCCTCAGTGTACCTGAAAAAGCTGCTGTGCTATTTTCCACTCTCTAATGGCACTTCTCTGTAAAACTACGAGCAAAGGATTATAGACTACTCCACCAATATCCTGAAAGTTGCTCTCCAAGCCTCTGTGAATACTGTGCGCATGGACAGCAACAAATCCCCTGAACTTCAAAAGTGCCAGTTCAAAAGAATCTTGTGCCATTTTGCAAGTCATTTTTCCTTTAAAACAACCTCACATTCTCTTGTTGAACTGCTCCTATTGTTCTTATTCAGACCCTTCCAATGTCAAGTGCAGCAAAAAGTGGTAGATTTGGAAAATGTTTATTATGAAGTAGAGTTGAAACAGGAAAAGCAGACATTGCATACATAAAGCAGTATGCACCCTGTCTCTGCTCATCCATTTCTCTGCTATAGAATGAACCTACTTCTGGAGCCCATTTTTTTCCTGGCCAGGCAGAAGCCATAATGCCAGAACCCAGGAAAAAGAAGGATACCACCACTTACTATGGCTGATATTTTCTGAATTCAGTTGCAGGACCACTTTCCCTTGCTTAAACTCTGCATGCGCAATCTTTAGGCTTATCGCCCCATTTCACCGCACCCACTCAATTCCAAGATGCACAGCAATAAGAATATTTCCATTTTAAAAACTTAGTGATTTCCAAAGTTCAAAAATGGAAGCTGCCAGATTTCCCTGCCATACAGCCATGAATGAAGATTTAGTGCCTCTGAAAAGGTGATCAAAATGCCTCCTCTCACAACCCAAGCCAGACAAGCCCAAGCACCATAAATCCCTACTGCAACATGTACAGTAGTTGTCCATCTGCTCCCCCCTAGCTTGATCTGCACACACTCCCATTTTGTGGGAAAATATTGTAATCTTGGGAGTTAGAGCTGGTCCAATCACAAATTATATTTGCAAACTGCTGTTGACTATCACATCCCTCTAACCTAGGCTAGTGAATGGGCCTTAAGATGGTCAGAACCAAGACAATCTCCCAGGATAGGGTAGTTTTGGTAACTGCGCTTCTGTACCTACGATTTGCAGGTTGTGCCAACTGAACCATAGCAGCGCTTTGATTGGAAGCAGAGGGAGCTCACGGCTGTCAGAGTCAATGTGTGCAAGCTGCATGCACCTCACTTCCCGTGCCCTTGCTTTACGTGTGTCACTTCAGGAATATCGGTTGGGAAGAAACTACCTGGACTGAATCTAGCAACCCTGCGCATGGGCAACATTAAACAAAATCTTATGGGCCACACACAGAACTCCAATAAGCCACCACAGCGCTAACCTAAGCATGGCTTATTACAGCACTGTCCACTTATCTAGCCTCCCACAATGAAGGGTCCCCAATATATGAGGAGAGATTAATATTTCAAGGCCAGAAGGGACTGACTTCTGACTGACAGAATCTGACTTCTTTCTGGACAACCCATACAATTACAACCAGTAATTCCTGTAGTGAAGGATTTTAAATTGATTTGCTGGACCCCAAAGCAACTTTCCCTTTTGTTCTCATCCCATATCTTTATGTCTTAGCATCTCTCCTTCCACCTATCCAGTAATTACATTCTATACTAAAATTAGGAAGTATTGCTCAGGAATGTATCAAGTAAGTGTAGAAGATGGCAATAATCCTTAAGCGGTTGCCAAGCAACAAATAACCAGAAAAATAACTGACCTGAGTATAAAGAGTATTCTCACTGTGCTGTGTGTGTTCCAGACATTACAGAAAATACAAAACATTTCCTATACATATGCTACACTTAAAAGGCAAAGCACTGGATTTAATAAAGGGCCAAACTTCATTTTCGAAATACTCAATCACAGGACAACTAATGATGATCAAGAGCCATTAGCCTTTTATGTAGTTTGCTCCAGCTGAATACCATTTACAGAAGGCCAATATTTTGAGATTACTCCTTCACAGCATTTGCATTATAGTGATTAAAATGGATTGTTGGCTCCTTTTGGTAACAGAGATGTGGTGTACCAAGATAGAAGTAGGCTACTTCTGAAACTCATCATGTCTGAAAGTTGAGATGAAGGTTATAAGCAACCCTAACAAATGGGCCATTAGCCTCAGGCATGAATTAGAGCTCTCAAAGCATTTACTTTCAAAGTGATGCAGTCCAAGAGGGACGGCTGAAACATATCATCTGTTAAAACCCTCAGTGCTCCTCATGTACATTTAGCTGCGATACTGATGGTGCTTATGTTACTATGAAGGCCAGAGTGATAGAGTGAAAAAAACCATACAGAAAGAATATTTAAATCTAGGAGAGTTCACATGGATTTGTTTTCTTGATGGTAGGTTGGAAAATGGCAAGATGTGCATTTACTGTGCAACATTCCCTGGGGGCATGTTGTGAGCTTTCAGGCTAACAGACAAGGGTATCCAGAGCATAAACAGGGAATCTGACAAACACACCTTTGTGCTTGAAACAGATTCTATTAGCCCTTCCACTGCTCAAAGCTCTAATGCTTCTGTAATGTGCAAAAATCAAACAAGTTAAAATCTCATTATACATGCTTAGTAATAAGAAGCAACACATTCTAGAATGGAGCATTCGGATTCTGTAAAAGATTCATTACTGTTTCAGTGCTTAACGCTTCTTATTCCTTGCATGGTGCTCAGGAAAAAGGAATACAGAGGTTTCACACACTTACATTGTACCAGAAAACTTCATTTATAGGAAAAATCCATACTTCAAAAAACTGCTAGAAAAACTGGCACTGGATTATCGTTCATAACCCATGTACTATTTTGATGAAAAGGTTAAATATACAAAGGGGAAACACAACTATCTGATAAAGGATATAAGATTTTGTGATGTCCTGCATTATTTTGTGATGACAATGTAAAAGGAAGGAAATTGTGTCATTACACATAATGGAGATTGCAAAGTTAATACCATACATTTAAAGCACGTAAGATGCATATTTCTCATTTTATAAAAGCCGGTTAGGCACTGGCATATATATTTACATACATTTGCAATTTCAGGGAATTCATGTTTTTTAATTGCATATGTTTAAAGAGAATTGAAAATATTAAATATCACAGTGATTTGTCAGGTTTCAACTATCAAAATATCTACCAATGTAGGCTTTGGATTACATGTTACCTTTACCATTCATTAACAATTAACATATATATGTTAACAAGTAAGATTTAACTATTATTTGCTCCACTCAATAGAAAAAATATATTCTTCAATTTACAAACACACTTTATTCTTATTACTAAAATCCAGAAGGTTACTTTAAAATAATGTTATTCCAGTTTATAATGGCTTACCTTTAAGATTGTATTGTCTAGCCAGAAGTAGCTATACAAGATTGTGCCCAAACCTAGCAGTTTTAGAATAACTGAAGAAATCTAAACTTCATGAGCAGTTTTCACCTATCTGAATGAGGACGGTCAAGTGGATCCCCATTTAATCTCCTACTGACCAGAATGGTGGCAAGGCCCTTAACAGCAAAGGTGACAAGTTGCAAGTCTATGAGCAACAGTGAGAAAACATCAGTTAGACTTCCTTACTAAGGAAGTTTGTAATATCTGAAGCCTCATTAAATAAGATGGTAATGACTGAGTTGGTGAAAATGGTAAAGAGATGAGTTCTGCAAGAACAGTACAGAATAAGGGAGCTGTAACTCATGATGAAAAGACAGGTTTATTCTGATTAAACATTTTGAAACACAAGTTCATTTAAATAACACATGCCTTTTGTAATTAATTTAGTCCTATTGGAATTCTACAATTTTATTGTCGGCTCCAAATGAAACAATTGTAGAATTCCAACAGGAGTAAAATAAGTTTGCCAACCAACTAAAGCTAGTTACATTTCATAGAATAATTTAAAACTACTATTTTCATGATATAACTCCAGTCTATCCAACTGGTCCCATGATGACCAACTTTGGAACAAGATATTAAATTTCAGTCTTGGATTTTCTGAGACCGGTTCTGATCCATGGCTGTAAAGAACATGCAAACAGCAGCTGTGATGAACACCCGTATTCCCTCATAAAGAAGTTTAGGTGAGAACACACTCCATATGAACAAATGGTACCGCAGACCGGTTACCAAAATGATGTAGACTGTGACTGGAACAGAACATATCAGTGCATAGCAGAAACAACCATGACCCATTGCTGCCGAATTCCTGTTAAAAAAAAAAAAAAGTTAATGTTCATGGATTATAGAGTCATGGATTCCAAGGCTGACAGGACAACTGTAGCCATCCTCTTAGACCTCTTGAATAACACAGATGATAGAAGATTCCTCCTCCAACCACAAACTCCAGGAGCATATTCTTTACAAAAAGCATCCAATGTTGATTTAAAAAGTGCCAGTGATGAAAAATCCACCATGATCTTTGGAAAACCATTCCAATGGTTCATTATACGTACTGTCAAAAATTTACACCTTATTTTCAGTCCTGAGTTTGTCTAGCTTCAACTGTCAGCCACTGGATCATGTTGTACCTGCCTTTGTCAGACTGAAGAGACCATTATTCAATATCTGTTCCTTCTGTAGGTTCTTAGACTGTAATCAAGTCACGCCTTAGCATTCTCCTTGTTAATCTAGATAGAGTACGCTCCTTGAGTCTGTCACTGTAAGGCGTTTTCTCTAATTCTTTCATCATTCTTGCAACTCTTCTCTGAAACAACTCCAACTTATTAACATCCTTCTTGAACTGTGAGCAACAGAACTAGAAATAGCATTCCAACAGAGCTGTACTGGTGCCAAATACAGAAGTAAAATACCTCTTTGTTGCTATTCGAGACCAATGTTTCCTCTAATCTTTTCCTTCCATGTGTGGAATACATATTTTGGTGCACCAAAGCACGTGCAAATCCTCACCACCAGTGAAAGCCAAAAAGCTGTGTTAACCAGCTGGGTGGCATTTGAATTTCTCCTCAGTGGCCACACAAACACAGAGCTTCCAGGGAACATTGTTCAAGATCTCCGTTTATACAACCAAGTATCACACTAGCTCTTTTGATCACATCATCACATTCAGAGCTCATGTTCTGCTGATTATCTACCATGACCCCAAATCTTTTTAGAGCCCTTCATCCTATAAATATGGCCCACTCTTCATTCCTAGATGTATATATTTACATTTAGTTGTATTACAACTCGGAGAGCTGGGCACAAGCAAACAATGTGTGTTGTATCAGCCACAAACTTTATCAGTGATTAATTTATGTCGTCCCCCCCCCAGGTCATTGATAAAAATATTAAATAGTGTAAGGTCAAGAACTGATCCCTTCAGGACCCCACTGGAAAAACATCTGTTTAATGAGGATTCCCTTTTTACAGTTACATATTGATACCTACCATTAGCCTATTTTGATCAATTTAATGCCATTCTACTCATTTTAAGTTAGAATATCATGTGGTCCAAGTCAAATGCCTTACAAAAGCCTCAGTAACAGAAATCAATGCTATTTTACCATAATTTGTAATCTC